GAAATTGGTAGAGATTTCATACAAATATGAAGTATAATTGAGGAAAACAATAGTTATCAAATTTGTGAGGCATCCTCATCAAATTTATCTATATCAAGACAAATAAATCATGTTGGTGACATAATCAGAGACCAAATTATTCAATTAGTTATGTGATCTTATTTAGTTTAAAAATACTACACTAGTATGATTTCTAATTCATAGACATTTGTATCCATTAAACATATTTAATTAATTATTTTATTTTTTTCCAATTTCTTTCTAATAATAAATTAATTTTTTATTTTTAATATGTTTTTTACAATTGTGACATTATATGTATATAATATTAAATAAACCCGGATCCGGATTGCCTTAGTATCTCCTTTCTCAGCGTCCCTCAGAATCCCAAAATCCTGTCCATCCGTATGATCAAAAAACTCATTGCGCCACGTCGTAAGTACGACTAACAATACCATTCGGCCTTCTCCCTCTCCTCTTCCGACAACCCACCATTGGTTTGCAACAACCATCTCCTCCATGGCCATGCTTGCCTTGGCTATTCTTCCTCGATCTCCCACCTCTATCTGTCATTTGTAATCATCCTCTTCCTCCTCCTCTTCCTATGTCGGAAATTTAATCCCCTACAACGCATGGCATTCTAATCTTCCCTGTGGCGACATTAGCAGAGCCACTGAAAGCAAAGTGTTGCTCTAAATTCGACCGTGGATCAAGTTTGTGGTTGACTCTCCTCCGCCTTCGCCACCGTCTCCTAGAAATGAAAGCCTGCCCACAGATCTCAATGGATAAAACTGAAGTCACCATGCTTCCAAATAGAGACACCAAGACAAGAGATCAGTCAACTAAAAGAGTTTCTTCATGTGCGCGCGTGTATATACACACAGATCCAGAGAGAGCTCCATTTTTGTTAGAGATTTGCACCCTTTTGGCTTTATTTATCATTTAGATTAGTTTTCACTTTTAGACCTTAAATTGTGAAGAACCTATTTTTACCGGTGAAAAATTTGCGAAGTATCTTTGCACGGTCAAAGATATTCAGCCTGTTTGGTTGAGTGAACATGAGTGCAAAAAATAGCTTAAAAGTTTGACAAGTCATATTGTAAATTTGGAAACTATGAGTAAAAAAAAATTATCACCTCTAATTCTAATTATAAGAGCTAGTTAACTAATTTAAGAAGATTAACAAAAGAAGTTAAGTTAGTTAGTTGTAATAAATAGGTATTGTCTTTCCCAAAATATTCTTACTAATCAAGTGTGTTAGCTAGAATTACTATTGTTAGCAAGACTATCTTGAAAAAATGCATAAATATAAAAGACAAAATAGATTAAGGTCTTATATTAAAGATCAAATAAAAGTCAAATAAGGTCTTATATTAAGAATCGGAAGTAGTACTTTTTTAAGCTTGATTAAAAAGTATCTGAAACTTAATTATGACTTATGTCAAAACAACTTTTTAAATAAAAATCATTTTTGTCTGTATATTTATATTCTTATGTTTCTATCTTCATATTTCTAGTATTTTATAATCAATTTTTAGTTATTTATTTTTAATACTTTCTTGAGTAAAAATAATTTTTAACATAATTTTTATAATATTTTTAATTTTTAATATTATTTTTTATTATATATATAACTTCTGCAGAGTATATCATCCAATTAATTATGTAATATTATTTAGTTCAAATTTTCACAGTTTTGTGATTTCTAATTTAAATATATTGTTATTCATTAAATATAACTTCTTTCAATTATAATAATTTAAGATTATTTTATTTTATAAATTCATATTTTTAATTATTTTTTATTGTTCAATAAAAGTTATACTTTAATCATTCTATAAACTAAACTTATTTATCCAACTATAATCCAAATAATTTCTTTACTTTACAAACTAATTTTTATAAAAGTTAATCATATTACCTAATCTAATTTTTATTTAATCTCATTTTTTTAAAATCAGATTAAAATCCAAACGAATATGTTAAGATGACGTTTTAAGGTACGTTTGGATCACCGTTTGGAGGAGAAAAAGTGCTTAGGAACATGTGAAATGGTGGTTTAAAGCTTTTTTGAAGTAAACACATATTTGGATTGTTGTTGAGTGTAAATGAACTTATGTCATAAATTGACTTTTTTTCCAACGCTCCATAAAGTAACTTTTGCCTTCCACAACGCAACTGATGGGGTCCATATAGGTGAATGACAAAATGCTTTTACTTTTTTGCCCCAGAGAGAGAATGCTTTTATACAAGATTCAATAGATTAATTTAAAAAATTAAAAAAGCTGAATAAATTATTTATTTATATTTTATGTTACATGATTTCTCTAAAATACTTATGTGTATTATTAGACTACATATTAGTTTATAAGTCAAGCAAATTAATTTGAAGAAAAATAAATATAAATATGTCAAAATAATTTATTTAAATTTCCTAATGTTCTCAAATTAATTATATGTATTTAATTATATTCCATGTATGTTCAAAATTTTCTCACCAGTAGATATTTTTATTATACAATTATAATTTTAATTATTTTTTTAACAATTATCATACTAATATCATATAATATAAACATTAATATTCAATAAAGTTCATGTCTTTTTCAGTCATTTTATATCTAAATTTATTTTTTTTATTAATCATCCAAACAACTTTTAACTTTTCCAACTGACTTTTTATAAGCACCTATCCAAACATAAATAACATTATACTAACTGATTTTTTATTCTAATTTTAGTTACAAAAATTAGTTAGACTGAAGTTAGTTTTGCCCAATGCTAATTCAAACGTACTCTTAGTGGTTGGGACGGGAGTCGAAAGTGGCGGGGAGAGCAGAAGGTTGAAGATGCTGCTATTAGGGTGTACTTCAACCTTATTCATTTTTAAGAGTTTCATGATGTGGCGTAGTGTGAGGTTTTGGATCATATGCATGGATAGGATTTTGGGATTCTGAGGGACACAGTGGAAAAAGATTATGAGACGATTCGGATGGAAAGAAAAGTAGAGAGAAAAGAAAACGACAGGAGAGAAAATAGAGAGAAGGAAAAATTGGAGGGAAGTTGTCATCATCCTTCTTGTTTGGAGAAATGAGAAAAAATAGAGAGGAGGAAAAATTAGCAAACATCTAAATGACTAAAATGTGCTTATCAAAATATATCATATTTAAAATTAAATTAAATTAAATTAAATATTCAATAGAAAAATCTTACTAATATTAGCATTAATAATTTAAAATCAAGTTATTTGATTCATATATATTTTTAGATTATTATGTTTTAAAGCCAAATTATTTAATAAAAACATTGTTTTAAGATAAAAAATAAAAAGTAAATAACTTTTAAATATAATAAAAGAAAATAAATATGGAGAGGAAGATAAGGGAGGAACAAATCATGAAAATCTTGTTTTCCTTCCCAAATCTCTCCATATATAAAGAGAAAATTTAAAAAAAAGATATGGGACCCACTTTATTTTTTCCTTCGCTTTTTCTTCCTCCTATATTTTCTCCACTATCTAAACAAGAAAAAACTTATTTCTTCCCATATTTTCAAGAAACAAAAAACCGGACCTGGAGCTAAACCGGTCGAGCCAGTGGGTCAAGGGTCACTGGTCGAACTGGAGGTTAGACAGGGATTGGACCAATCATATTAAAATAATATAATTTAATTCACAATATTAAAATAGAACTGAATTTATAAATATTAATCACTCAAAAAAAAGATTGAAAGTTACAAAAGTAGTTTAAATGTTTAATTGTACTAAGAAAATATTAATAAAATTCACATCTTCATCACTATGCAAAATCAAAATTATCATTAAGATCATTGGTAAGAGCATGGATTGAGATATCATCAGTTGGGCGAGGAAAAATAGGAGTAACAATATCATCGTGCAAAGGTGGAGGATCAGCAATATCCATATCTTCATCACCTATATAAGACAATAATCAATATTAATGATTATGTAAATAATTATATATTCATCTAAGAATACTAATAGAATCTTAATTATATATATAAACTTTCATTATTCCTTTCAAAAGTTGTTGAATTTGTAGTACCTTCATTGTTAAATGATGTTCCAGGTAAACAAATCATTGAAATCAATCAATATGACTCTTTTTAACTTTTTCCTGGATCTTACATCTATATTATACACAATATTGTTCTACATTAGAAAAAGGAAATAAATCTCATTTTATCTAAGCCTAGCTACTTTACAAGTTATTAGTGTTGAGCTTGAGAATTCAGATGAATAAAAAAATAGAAGAAGAACGCACAAAGCATGCCCAGTGAACTGAAAAACCATAAGAGCATAGCACATTTATGATTTAACTATCTAAGCCTAACTGAATGAAAATTACTAATAAGACAACAAGAGGCAAGAGCACATAAGCGACCACCTACAGCTCTGACAATGATTCTGCCACTGTGAAGAAGTAACGATGATGGGAGGCGACCACTTGCGGCTGCGACGTAGATTTGCGCTTGAACCACGATCACCGGCTACTTCAACGTTCAACCTTGACGACGTGACATGAAGATCCGGGACCTTCGATGGCGAAGAAAACTTCGGCATAATGAGGTTGATTCAGCTAGGGATTTTCGATTTGGGGAAGGGTGGCAACGACGAGAAGTGAAAGGCAAAGATTTTTCTTGAACTGAAGCAGGGGCCAAGCTCATTCAATTTGGACCGGATTGTCTTTTTTTTTTTTTTTTAATTTTCCAATGCCAAACGACTTCGTTTTCCATGGATTGAAGGATAAAAAAAATAAAATATTCAAAACCAGGTAACCCATCAAACAATCCGGTTATTACCAGTTGAACCGTTTTGAGAACGGTTCAATTATAGACTGGTTTTTTTGGCCTCCCAGACTGGACTAACTTACCGGTCTGGTTCAATTTTTTTTTCCTTGCATAGTTTCCTCTTTAGTTTTCTTTCCTTCCCAATTTTCTCTCGTGTAACCGCAACAGCCATCTCTCCTGGTGGATCCCTCTCCCTTTCTCCCTCTTCCCAATTCGCTTCTGTATTTCAAAGTCCTCCTAAATTTCCTGACCTCGTCGTCTTTATCATCATCGTGGGTGAGAGCGACAGAACGCCATTAACAGAACGAGACGACTCGACCAGATCTGAGAGGAAAGAGAGGCTTATTCTTCTTCTTCAACCTTCAACAGTGAGAGCTGGAACAAGAGCCATTTTCTACTGCAAGAAAAATGCCAGCCCAAGAGGTAATCTTTGCATTGTAATTCGGTAGAGGATTTTGAATATTCCCCGATTTATTCAACAACAAATTCGCATTACATTGTGTTCAAACACGCTACGCAGAGATTAATATAATGGGGTTCTAAGTCAATCATTAGTGAGACGTTAGAGTCACCATGGGAGATTAATGTGCAGTTTGAGAAGATGGGTCTTCAGAGATTCCCTTGTTTTGTGGTTCCGGTTTTTCTTTCGAGTGTAGCTGTGCTTTGTTATGGTAGCAGAACCAGTTCATTAATGAGAAAGATTGTGAATACTGTGGATATATATGCCACTTGATAACGATGTATTCGCAATCCTACCTGGTTATAATGCTCCTCAACAAGTTCCGTAAAATCTGTATAAAATTATTTAAAATTCAGTTCTCTAGCCTTTGGCCTCATTCCTCGCCATTTTTATCGATGTATGGATTTCCTTGGTTAAGGTTCATATAACACAAGGTGATTATATGGGGAAGGCAGTGATGGTTTCTTGGGTGATTGAGGATGAACCAGGATTAAGTGTCGTGTTACTGGAATGAGAACAGTAAAGAGAATAAGATAGTGACTGAGAGCGAATGTTACCTTTTTTTTGGCAAGAGAATTTGTTACCTTTTTTTTTTTTGGTCAAGAGAATTTGTTACTTATAGATTTTACAATTGCTCATCTGGATTTATTCATCACTGCACTATAAAATATTTGGAGGTAGGAATTGATCCATTGCCCCATGTTATGATTGTTGTTATTTTTCTGATGCTAATCGAAAGGGGTTTGTTTCAGTGAACGAGTTATTCATTACTGTGATGTGATAAAAAGTTTAATAATTTGTGAGGCTACTTCTCTGAATTTTTAGTCCATAGTTATTATTTAAAAGGAAAACCCATAGTTTTGTGGTCTTAGTAATCTGATAGTGTGGGGGCCATTTTGGCATGTTAACTTATGAATAAAATACTTGGCCTAAGTAATTTGATTTTAAGTTGGTTCTAAATTTATGTAGAAGATTGAAAGCATGGTAGGATCTTCTCTTGAGCACGTCCTTTCATTTTTCATTGACGATGTTATGACGCTTAAACTTGATTGAGGAAACACTTATACATGTGAAAAACAAAGTTGTACTTGTGCAATATGTTTCTATTACTTCTAGATACCATATGAGACCTAAATCAGCAACTAACAATCCCCTAGTGAGAGATGTAAAACCATTGACACATTACATGGACAACAAATCCAACCTAATCCATACAACAGCAACTAAATAATGTACCCATCTTTAAAAGAGAACAGAACAGAAAAACTTATAAATGAGTCAAATAAAGTTAGAAACATCTAGTATTGAATCTATATGAGCATTGCTTATTTTAGACAACTTCTTCAAAGGGCAAACCAGCTACCCAAGTCACCAGATTTATGTCATAGTTCCATTTCTTGTTCTTCAACTTGAATGCTATATATGCCACAAGTGTAATCTGACCTTAAAACACCACCCATACATATAACTTCATACTAAAAACAAGATAAAATTGTCTCAGAGAGTCCATACATTGAAATTCATTAATAATAAATCAAGTGGCTAAGATAGGAATCGAAGAACTATTATAACATTAAATATAATAATTATAACCTGTTATATAATATAATCCTAGCCACATTCAAACAAATAATATTGCAAAATACAGTAATCAAAGACCCTAGCAATTGTAGCTGAGATAGGAACAGCAGCCCAGGACTTCAAACATTCAAATGATCTAATTGGGTCCACTAAGATTCCCAGATCTTCGTCGCCCATTACACTATCTGCTACCCTTCAAGCTGATTTTCTCAAGTAAGAGATGTTTAGAATTTCAATTGTTTAGGTGTACTAGCAGATCAAAATGAAGCAAGAACAAATGGAGTGGGAAACTACAAAGACAAACGAAGAGGAGAAATTTAAAAGTTATATGTATGGGTGGTGTTTAAAAGTGTGATTGATATGTCTTGTAAATGAGACACAATTTTTAATTAAAGTATTTTCTTTTAATTAAAAGACCTTAATGCTATTAAAAAGACCAGGAACCATAGCCTGAGCACAAAGCCGAGCAATCTCACAGGTGCTGGTTAATTTTTCCAATGATCTTGATTTTATCTATTTGAATTTTCATATAAAATGCATTTTGCTAATCCAGTGAATAAGTTGATTACCATTCTCTGTGATCATGATGATTTTTTTCTTGTTTTCTGAGTAATCTATTTTGTTTTCCCTCCTTTTTCTAAAGATTCTAGACATGGGAATGTCTGGAACTGATTAATGTTCATTCTTTCTGGCTTGTCATATGCCATGTCTTTCAATTTTTATTTTGTCTGCAAATCAAATGCTCATGCTTTGTTTTATTTTGGTGGAATGCTTCCCACGAAAAGAAAATTTTTTTGTTTTAGAAATGGAGAGAAAATTGTGAACTTAGTTTTCATGTAATTGAGGGAAGAAGATCTGGCAGAAATTGGGAAGAAATCATCAGATCTGGCTGGATAAGATCATCATCAGATCTGTATCTTGTTGCCCTCTAATCTCCATCACCAACTTCTAGCTTGCCACATCCGGTCTGCATTTTTCTTTCAAATGATATCTGCCTCCTGCTGTGAAAGCATTTTGTGGAACTGGGTCCCCATTCAAAGCTTCCTGGTTAGTTTCTATAAATCCCCCTCAATACTTCTCCATATTGGTTTTTTATGGATCCCCTGGGGGAATTATGTCATTCGTAGTTTGACTGAAGGATTGTAAATAGCATCTGTTTGCTGATATGAATGCTAGCAAGTCTGTAAACTCTTGCACAATAACAAGTTTTGAGGCTATGATTTTGTTATGGAGTATTCAATTATTTCTCTCTTGATTCTAGCTAGTCTTGCAATTCAATATTCCCTGTTTGATCGCTCTTTTTTTTTTTTTTTGGCAGTTACTGAAACGTTTCTTTGATATCTGAAGAAAAGAGGTGCCTGAGTAATATATCTACTTTTTGAAGAACAATAGATTTGACACACTAGGTGTGAGAATCGTTATATAGAAGCATGAGGTTCCTGATCTTTAGTTTGCTAAGGTTACCAATTGGAGTGCTAATGTTATTACTGTTATGTCTTGGAAACATCGGCAACTCTGTGGCACATTTGTCATCTTCATCTGAATCCACATTGCATACGAATGATTGGGCTGTTTTAGTCTGCACATCACGATTCTGGTAAGTGCAGCTTCCATTTTTAATTTATAACATAACAAAATTATAGCTATATCCTCTTTTTGTGAGTAATAAAACCCTCTTAAAGAATCATACCAGTGTTTTCTTTTCGTGGTTCCTTTGGATTGTTTATACCACCTTTGGCAACATGAAAATATGATGCTTACTCGAACTGACCTGGTTTCGGACATTGTTTTCCAACTCATTTACTCCAACTCAATCATTTATGTTGTCATTCATGATTGTTTTGTTCATTCGATTTTATTTCAACTAACAGCTTACTATAACATAAATTAATTATTAAATTAATTTAAATATTGTTCGAATCCAGTTTACTATCATTATCACTAAAAAAGCAATCACGTGTTAGAACGCACCATCCCTTTTTGGCTGTATCTCATCTCTACAACATGTCTAGTGAGCTTTAATACCGACTTCCTTTTTATTCCTGAGGACATAAACATTTTCAGCCACCTGTATTTTGATTTAGAGCAAAATTTATTGGTCTAGTGTGTGCATCCTTGAAATTGCTTTTTAGACTAAGGGTGTGTTTGGATGACTTCAAACCGTGGTTTGGAAAAGTGATTCTGGAGAATAGATTCTGTGGAGAATAGATTCTGTGGAGAATAGATTCTGAGAAAAAGTGATTCTGAGAAGTGAGAGTGTTTGGATAGTTATTACCAGAAGTGCTTTTGACATGTGGAAATGACCAAAAAGGGTATAAGTTAATATGATAATTATATAAGGGATAGATTTTATGATTTATTTTGATTTGAAGAAATAAAATTGTTAATGAAATAATTTGTACTAACATAATTAATAATATATAAGATAATATAATTAATACATAATTAATATGTGTACATATATTTATAAAACATAATATTAAATGTTTATAGAAAAATGATTTTTTTTAGAACAGAAAAATATTAATTTTGTTTAAAGATTGTAAACGTGAAATCCCATAACATTTTTTCATAACTACATGTATAATAACCTCTGATGTTTAATACAATTAATTAATTAATTGTCACCACACATATATATTCATAAAATATAAGAGTGAAAAATATTTTTAGAGAAGATGAATTATTTTGTTGCAAAATAGAATAAACACGTCTTAAAATAATTTATTAATTATTCAAGTAAGTAATAATTAGCTTGAGAATATAAGGCATAATATTAATAAGAGAAATATAAATAAAGAAGTGTCATAATCATTAAGATGATGCATCGATACAAAGCATTTGTAATAGGTTTTGTTTTTAACTACATATTACAATCTATGATAAAAGGAAATAAATAAGACATGACTACTATCCTCGTATTGAATTAACAAGTTCGTCTCTTATGCTGTCACGAACCTGAGCCATGTAAGATGAAGATTGAATTGATGAATGTATACGTGAAAATCTAACCCCATCATCATCATCTTCTGCATAAGTACCTTCTTCTTCCAACTGAACGAATCCAGGATCAGTAATAGATGTCATTCTAATAAAATTATGTATAGCCATCGTTGCACAAACGATTTTAACTTGTGTTTCAAAATCATAAGATGGCATGTTTTGTAAGATTGCGAACTTTTTTTTCCAAACTCCGAAAGTTCTTTCAATTGTACTTCTTAAACTTGAATGGAAATAATTAAAGATTTCATTGTCATTTTCAAACCCAGATGTCCTTCGAAAATCAGGCAAATGGTAACGCTCCCGTCTGTATGGGCCGAGATATCCATTCGGTGTTGGGTATCCAGCATCCACCAAATAATATTTTCCTATATAAAAAATGAAATTATTGTAAATTATGTTTCTATTGTTAAGCTAAATATAAAAAAAATAGGAAATAAAAAAATACCTTCAGGTGGATGGGGAAAGTTCATTGAAGGAGTTGTGAGGGCATGATCAAATATCCGAGCATCATGTGCGCTACCTTCCCATCCGGCCAAGACAAAAGTAAAACACATGTCCCAATCACAAACCGCCATGACATTTTGTGACACTGTTCCTTTCCTAGAGATAAATTTAGTTTGATCTGTTGCACTGACAACGCAGGAAACATGTGTGCCATCAATTGCTCCAATAGCATGTTTAAAAAAAGGCCAGTATTTACCAAACCGAATTTTTGTATGAACATGCCGGAATGTTGGATCTTTTGGTTTGATATTAGACATGGCAAGTCTACAGCATGCCATTAGGACATTATGAAAATGTCTGCTAATTGTCTCCCCTGAATGTTGAAATCTTTCTTGCTGCATTCTGCTACTAAGTGCATGCCCAACGGTATGTAAAAACATTGCAACTGATTCATGTATCCCTATATTTTTAGTTTCTTTTAGACCATGTTGTTGCAATTGTTCCACCAGACTTAAGAACACATCCCGTTCCATCCTAAACATGTTATAACAACGACTGGAGTTGCCATCTAAAACATCCCTTACCCATATGCAGCCTGTATAAGCACTTGTATGCTGAGGCTCCTTACACAAGTTCAAAGTAGCGTATGCACCAACCAATGCTGCAACTTTGTTAACTCTTTTTTTCCGTCCCTTAGCATGCTCTTCCACATGTTTAATTTCATCATCCATATTCGTTTTATCCTGTGCACATACACATAAAGTTTAGAATTCCTACGTAGAAATTACGAAACATTTATAAAAGTTACAGAGTTGTCTGATTCATATAACAATCCACTGGTCACATAAAACATACACATATGGAACTGTCTAATATAATAAACAAGTCATAAATCCCTAGTAAAATGCTCTAAAATGAGTAGAAGCTGTTCCTTCTGATCCTTCAGAGCTGCATACATTTCTCGTGCATCCTGCCGTTCCATAAGGAGTTGTGTGCACCGTCTAAAGAAATCAGGATCACTGACAACTTCAGGAACTGTTTTCAGGTGAGACAGGACTCCCCTAATTGAAACCTCATAAGCACGCGCTTCTTCTTCCAACCTTCTAGCTTCTGCTCGTGAAATGACCTCATTTCCACGCTCGGCCTCAGAAGTATTTGTTTCAGCAATCTTGCTAATTGCATCCGCTATTTTCATAGAGGGAGATGTGCGTTTCTTCTTGACTTCACTCTTCCTTCTGACCCCCAGTGAGCTACTAGGTCGACTCCTACCTCTGCTTGTACCCCCACCACTGGTATCCTGCCTCAATTCAGTGTTGCCTCCACTACCTCCACTATTATCATTGAAGTTCACTGTGTTAAATTCCCCACTTATACCAGTTGGTGCACCTAAAATTTCATCACTATCTCCGGACCCTTCTTCCAAATCTTCATTCGGTGTTCCTTCACTTGGAAGTGTCATGGAAGAAGGTGCCCATGCTTGTGGTCCAGTTGCAGCCACACTTCCAAATAGTTGCGTCAATTCATCCCTAAATTGAAGTCCTCTTTCTCTGAATTTTTCGTAGTTTGGAACTTCCTGCACATTAGACACCAATAATATCATAAAATATTCCAAAAACAGTAAATATACACAAAGCATTAACAAGTAGAGAAAATGTAAGATCAAAAGGTTCAATAATTACCCTTATTTTTCTCTCCCACCAATCATCAGTTGCACTGACAGTATTCCTTTCAGTATCCCATCCCAATCCTGTCTCACGAAGCAGCCTATCCCATGTCTGCCACTCCTTTCGTAGGGAATCATATTTATTCTTAAATTGACCTTTTTCATACACTCTTCCAGTTTTGGCAGTAAAGTTATCACCAAGAATATCCCAAGCTTTCTTTGTTAAGCTAGTACCTTTTCTTTCCCCTTGTTGCACAAGTTCAATGCAGAGGTCAATAAACACTTTTGTGGTTCGTAGGTCCCAGGAAGCTTTCACCGTATTCTTACGCATTATGCTATAGCACAATTATAACTCTTCAGTCATCCCAGGTTAATCAACTCAAAATCAATTGAAATAACAAAAATCATATTGTCTACTGTAATAGGTGAAAAAGTTGATCACATTTTAAATCTCAATTCCTTCCTACCAAACCAAGTGTGACAAAAATTAACAAACACAAAAAATTTCTAATTTTACATGGTTGGAAAAAATACACCCCCTCCTTTCTAAACTTCATTATTTGTTTTTACTTCAAAATACTAAAAATTTTAAAACGTCCAAAATAACATGTTAATTAAATAACATTATAAAGCACATTATTGTTTTTACAAAATAACATGTTGCACAAGCCTTTCATAATATTTTTTAAAAATTATATCCTTATCAGATTTGTCAACCGAAAATAAAAAAAACTACCAACATAAACCTCTGACCAAAATACAAATCACTTCCTTCAATATATATACATGGATTTCAGTTGTGATTTCATTTTTCCTCACTCTCAAAAGTTGGCCATAAATTTATCAAAATCCTTAATACAACAATACAGAACAATACAATTCTTATCTCATCCCAAATCAGATCAACTCTTAACAAATAATGTTCATTATCACAAGTACTATCCACGGCAAAAAAAAAAAAACCAAAGTCTCGACTTCACAGCTTCTTCTCCGGGGGAAATCTGGACTACAGCAGGAAAAACAAATTGCATTGAATTTATATAACAATTGCCAGACTTTCTCATCCATATACGTCCCCTGCCTCCAGAACCAGACATTGATTACCATAATTTGTTCCCTCTTTGTTTCATAAAATCAGAACCAATTTACCAAACGAACATACCATTTATAATCCCCAGCACATGAAGCTCAATTAAAGAAATCCAAAAACACCATAAACCCCGAAACAATCCATGGCAAAAACGAACAAGATCTTCGGCAATAACCATTGATCAAAATCTGCCGAATGACGCACAGGAAGACCAAGGAATATCCAGACAACAATTATACATCGCTTGGATCCACTAGGCATACAAAGCTGAAATCGAAGGCCACGGTTGAAAAATAGAACCGAGAGGAAGCTTGCAATTGAAGAGGATATACAGCCAAATCATTCCAATTCAACATACCACAATCAAAAAACTAATAGCCACGGTTGAAAAAAAATTCATATCACTTCCGGATGACAGACCGAAAATAGAGGAGGGACCGAATCAGAACCACCGAACCAGAATCATAAGCAAGAAGCTGATAGATCAATGAATGGAGGAAATACGAACAGAATTTTGGGCAATCACCAGAGAGAGCTCACCGGCCGAACTGAAGAACGAAGATTGGAGACAGAGGATGGATGGATCGGAGCTTCCTTTGGTTTTGGCGAGCCGAGTAATGCACGACCACCCCTGTTTTCGCGAGGCCAGGACGATCTCACCGGTGTCGAGTTTCAGAGCAGCGACGGCGAACACTCGAGCTGGCGATGAAGCACGGCCGAAGACGCGACCCGATGATGAAGCGGCGAAGAGACGAGCTGATGATAAGGGCCGAAGGGTCGAGCTTCGAGCTGAGTCCGATCGTTCGGCGAAGAGGAGGAGTGTCGGCCAGCGAAGAAGAGAGGGATCTGGGAAATTGCCTACCGGAGCCGTTGCTGAGGGTCGACCTTGAGCTGAGAGCAATGGTCGAGCTGAGGAGCAAGCACAGTGTGTCGAGCGGAGGAGCTGGTCGAGCTGAAGAGAAGAGTGTCGGCCAGCGAAGAGAAGAGAAGGATGTCGAATTCAAAGTGTCGGCCAGCTCGAGAACTCTGGGGTGTTTTTGGAATCACCAGTAGGCGTGCCCGATTTTTTCCCACAAGCGACAATTTCCAGCTTCTGGTGAAACCATGGTTTCACCGGGTGAAACCATGGTTTCACCTGAAACCAAGGTTTACAATATTTTGGGGCCTGTTTGGGTAGCATTTTCCCCAAACCATGGTTTGGGGTGCTACCCAAACAGGCCCTAAGTATCAACAATTTGGCCAAAAAAAAAAAAAAAAAGATTAAGCATCAACAATGCTGTCTAAACATGTTACTAAGTCTTATAAAAGACGTTTTATAGCTATCACAAAGTCTTAGTTTCATGACTTGGTTAACATATTTAATTCGTTGCTTCCCTTATTTAGGTTTAATTATCGACACATGGCCAATACACTTTCCTTATATAGGTAATATCCAATTTAACTTTATTTGCTCCAATTATACTTTGTAATTACCTGTTGTCATTATAATTTCCTTGTTAATCAGGACAGTTAAGCGGTTAGGAATTCCTGACGAGAGGATAATACTCATGCTGGCAGATGACATGGCATGTAATGCTAGAAACAAATACCCTGCCCAGGTTTTCAATAATGAAAATCATAAGCTTAATTTGTATGGGGACAATGTGGAGGTGAGTTTTCTTTATGCCTTTCATTTTCCTTGTTCACTAGATAATATTCTTTGTGTTGGCTTTGGAATTGTCTTGATATGAGTCTAAATTATATTAACAAACCATAAACTCGTGAGCCAGTTTTGGTTGTGGATTTTAAACTTCCGCATATAAGTAATGAAAAGTAGGAATATATATCCACATATATGTAGAGATACGAACGCATATGCACACAAGAACAATATAATGAGATAGAAGAGTACAAAGATTAAGGAGAAGGAACTAATCTAACAGCAAAGAAAGTAGTGAAGGAAATTCAATGCTCATAACCATCCCAAACAACTTTTCCTTCTAATGTGTAGCCTTCTCGCTGTCTAGAAAGAGGTTATTGAGAAATTCTGAGCTCTTGTTGCTCATAATGCAAACATCCGAGGTCAAGGCCTTTTGTGGCCTATGCATCTCACTACTTTTTAGTATTAATCCTACTAATACATAGCTTAAGCAGAGGCTACTCTTTTCTTTGATTTACTAGCTATGTTCGTAGAAACTACATGACAAATTTGAAGCTTTGCTTACTAATTTGGGCACAAAAAGGGGAAACACGTAATAATATTTTAAGTTTACTTACGCGCTTCCTTTCACTATGCAAATCAATTAATAAATAATTTTGCTGAGTATTAATATTACTGGGAGGCTTCTTTTGTATGATGATTCAAGCTTGTGTCTGGTATATAGCTGAGTTTGCCATTCTGCCCTGAATCTTGCATAAATAGTTTTAAGGTATTGTAGAGAAATTAGAGGAGAGAGGGGAAGAAGAAGTCTGGGAAGAAAATGAGAGAGAGAGAGAGAGAGAGAGAGGAGGGAGAACTTATTCTATTCACTTTGGCCATTCGCCAGTCTGATTACCCAGGCCCCTTATTTATAGGCCTACGGACTTGGTAACAAATGCTAACTAACTTCCTCCTTTCTATTATATTTACATATCAAATACCATGGTTGACTTTAGGTATTCTTGCTACTGAAGTCTGTTAGCCATAACACATTTCTCTGATATGTAAATTTTCCATCTCTCTCTGATTGGCTTTAAGCTGATATCAATATTAAATCTTATAATTTCTTAAAAGAGACTTGGGGATATTTGGATGGAAACTAAATCATGATTTTAAAATTGATTTTACGGTATACTAAGTAAATATGTAAGGGAGTTTTGTTTCGATTTGTGTGAAAACATTTTTGCTTTCTGGGGTTACCAGGCACCCGCTTAATAAAAGACGTGCTGTGGTAACCCAATAAACCTCTTTGTCTAGTCACATTCTCTCACTTTTTTCAGTTGAACACTTGTGTATATGTAGACTTCCATCTGAGATGATGCTAAAGAGATATTCATCGCTTTCAACCTGTTTTGGGGCTATACGCAATGTCTTTTAGAGGATGAACATTTTGCTTCTTAACTTGCAGGTAGATTATCGTGGCTATGAAGTGACAGTGGAAAACTTTTTACGAGTTTTGACGGGTCGTCATGAGGCTGCTGTTCCAAGGTCTAAGCGTCTTCTAAGTGATGAAGGGAGTCATGTACTTTTGTATATGACTGGGCATGGAGGTGATGAATTTTTGAAATTTCAGGACTCTGAAGAGCTCCAGAGTCATGATTTAGCTGATGCTGTAAAGCAAATGAAAGAGAAGCGTAGGTATGAAGTTGTTAGCATCCTGATTTGATTTTCTAAGATGAAGAGGGAATAATTACAGTGAATCTCTTCTGGAACTTTCAAGTGAGAATCTGATAGGAACTGACAGTAGGAACAGTAATAAATCAGATAATGAAACAGTGCATGGGCTCCTGATAGTGAAATAATACTCGAATAGGATTAATCAATAGCAATCTTCCTACTCAGTGGGAGATAGGAAGTTACAAAATGGTTCACACACTCACAGCTCATACAATGGTCCTGACATTCGAGAGGTCAGCTCTCTCCTCACCATACTCTCATGCAAAAAAAACGTCTTCCCTCCCCCAAGCTACAACGGCTAAAATACTTAAAAGTAAACAGCACAGTCTCCAAAATACAACAACCTAGTACACAGACCTAAAGACATTTAGAGTGTGCTACTTTCTCCAAAAAGGTAGGAATTAGAAGTCAACTCCCTGGTTGCTTAGAAAGGACTGTTGCCTTTTGCTTGCTTCTGCCTCTGTCGCCTCTTATAGGTATTTTTAAATAGGTCGATCCTATCAGAATCTCACTTGATAAATCTCAATAACCGGGGATAAATTCTATTAAGAATGAGTAAAGTAAGAGTCTCAATCTACACACCCTCAATAGCCGAATCAATGGAGAATTTCCACTTAATTCAAATAGTACTTTATTTCTCTGGTATGTTGGCCATAAAATCTGCAACACATTTATAATTGCAGAAAATATGACTAAATGAGAATGAAAAATAAGCAAATATCCCTAGTATCTTGGAGCTAAGCTAACAGAAAGAGACGGTGGACCTAACAACCTAAAGTTCACTTACTCAGCTGATAAATCATTAATAAAACAAATAAAACTTATGAGACTCATTCAGCTGTCCTTCAAAGATGAAAAAACTGACTCAACCACTACTCCATTCTCCTTATTTCTTCTCTGGTATGTTAATGTGCTGATTTGGAGTCTTATCAGAAATCTTTTGCAAATTAATGTTGTGACTTTTAAGTTTGATTTGTGAACTTGATATTTGATAAAGTTTTGGATCAAGGGCTGTAGTTGCATGCTTTCTTGTATGGCTGTTTTCATATGCTAAAGTAATGCTTAGTTTTTTGTATGAAGTTTTTGCTTGGCAAATGTTTTATGAAATAGACCATTTTTCTAACTATGAAGATTTAATCTATATTTTGTGATTAACTTCATATTTGGTAGTTATTGACATCTTGTGACCTCTTTATATAGGGCAAAAAACTCATCTTTTTGCTGGCATGTTGTCTCTTAGGTTCAAGGAGCTATTGATAATGGTGGACACTTGCCAAGCTTCAACTCTCTTCTCACAGGTCTCAAAATGCTTTCCAGAATATGATTTTTAGAAAAATCAAACATGAATTCTCGTTAGATGGATTTTTAGAATATTATATGAAGCTTATTCATTCTTTAATTAAAAGGAGATGTTGGCAATCAGTCAATCGAAGTATTAATTGCATGATGTTGCCTTGTTAGATTGTTTTTACATAAGATTACTGCATGCCTTGTGTTTTTACGATAGGTGCCTTTGTCTATTCCAATGGGATTTGTAATCATTGGTAAAAGAACTTTGGATATTAGGAAGCTTAAACTCAGTATTTGTTAATTTGATTGTGATAGGGTGATTGTAGAAAGAAAGGTGAAAGAGAGAAAAACAGAGTGAATACAAAGAGAAACTAGAATTATACTGTATAATTCAAAAGGTCAAAGCATATGAGAATAAGATTGATGATTACCCTATCTATAAGTCATGGGTAATTCTAATCTCAATTAAATATCTAATCCAAACATTACTATTACTATTACTGATATAATTAAATCCTATCTAAATCCTCCTAATATGATAATATCCAAATTCTATCTAAATTTATTTAAAATCCAAATAAATTCTTATAATTAATGAATCTAATAAAATCTTACCTAAACTTATCAATATCTTCTCTACAAGAGACCTTTGTCCCCAAGGGCAAGTACATAGAAAATGGTACTAAACTAGAGCCAAGAAGCATTTTGAATAATCCATGAACCAATTTTGTACCAGCAACCCTGTATTGAAGCATTGAACATGAGACCCATCAACGCCAAACGTGAGTTTCACACTCTTGCAGGTTCTTGACTTGCAAAACTCATTGCTTAGCCATACATGACCAGCCTAGGAGCATTCCTTTTGGTTGTATGTGACAGCCCTTGTGTTGTCCCCAAAAAGCTTAGTTGCAAGTGGAAGTTTGTATACAGAAAGCTGTGTTTTATTCCATAGGATTGAATGATACATATAGGCAGAAGAGTGATTTAGCATATCGCATGAAAATCCTCCAGAATTAATGAGGAAGTAAAAAAAGAAAGAAATATATTCTGTAATCCCTAAATTAGTGCCTAAGCTAACGGGTAGAAAATCAGAGTACATGGCTGTGTTTGATTCTAGGTTAAAGAGTGAATGGGCCTCCCCCTATGGCCCATTTCCAACACTCTCCCTCAAGCTGGGGAATAGATGTTAATTATTCCCAGCTTGCTAGTCGACTTGTCAAACTTGTTCTTGACCAGTGGTTTGGTCATTACATCCACAATCTGTCTTCCAGAGGGAATTTAGGTTAGATCGATGACTTTAGCTTCAATCTTTTCCTTGATGAAATGGCGGTCAATTTCAACATTTTGTTCGGTCATGTTGGACAGCATTGTTTGCAATCTTGAGTGCAGCCATATTATCACACCACATCTTGATTGGTGTATTTATTTCTATGCCGAGTTCTCTTAACACATGTACTACCCATATTAACCCTGCCTGCATGTGCAATCTCGTAAAAGTACTCAGGCACATGACTTTCCTTCTCAAATATTAGCTTATTGCTTGTGTAGTTTTACTTTAATTCAATTATTTAGAGTTCCTGAGACAAAATTACGGAAGTTGATGGGTGGAGTTTTACAAGCATTCTACACTAGATGGTTATAGGTCTTTGTCATCTCACAAACCTTTGCCTGCTAACTAACCAAATGTGATGTGCTGGCTTACTTATAGCGTATTTTGATCCATTTTGACTGTCATGTTGTGAAGAACAAAGGACATGGCTGTACCTAGTAAATTTCTATTTGCTTTTACTTTTAAGTTTCAACTCTCTGTTTACTATTGTCCTGGGCTAGCTTGGTGCACATCCTTTGCATGTATTTAAATGTCCTGGTGGTAAAAGGGAAATATGCCGCATAGATATGTCAAAGCCTGAAATCCTCTAATTCTTTTCTCTGTCACGTTGAGAAAAAGTTGTCATTTATTTATTCTGCTAATTTTTTTCCCTAGGTTGACTTGGTTCATTTTCTGAACCTTGCAGCTTCATTCCCCAGGTGTTTTGGCTATGGGAAGCAGCATGAAAGGAGAGAATTCATATTCACATCACTTAGACCCAGATGTATGTATCCATTTTCTAGTATTAACCATCTGCTGCAGTCATTCCTGTTGTTAATGGCATTTAGATTCTAGACATAGGCATCAAAACTGCTGTGGCATCCTCCCCAATAACAAATAATTTGAGGAATTGTATTAAAAGAATTTTTTAAAAAATCATGATCACACAATTTTCAAGCAGTGTCATTACTTTACTAAGTATATTAAAATCACTCATGGGCCTTAACTCCGATTTCTGAGTTGAATTGGTACTTGAAATGGTATCCAAGTCACGATGAACACGTGATCTGAATCTGATCTTTTCTGTTATACATTTTCTTGATTGAAATTTTTAGTTCTAGTCACAAGGAGCTTGTTCTTGTTTTACTCTTAAATCTCATAATATGCTTCCATCTAAGGTGTGTTAGAAATTATAATAAAATATTACGAGTCTTCACTTAAATGCAAGGAAAATTTAAATCTGGAAAACATTCATTTAGAAAGTTTTAAACAGATTAATGACCATATCATAAGCTTCTGAGATGAATTCGTCCTTTATTGTATAAATGTACAGCAACATTCAGCCTAAGCACCAATTGACGTAAGTGGGAAAACAAAACTTAAATGTTCTGATGTTATTAGCAAGAGCTAAGAAAACATCTGAGTAAGTATCTAGCAAAGCTAATAAACTGAACGGACTATAGAGGGCGTGAATGAGTGTACAAAAAAGAAAAAAAAAAGAAAAAGAAAAGATCATTGTGCTAGCAGTCAAGAAACAATGGCAATCATAAGACCAAACAAACGGTAGGCAATGGCAAAAACTCGAGGTCTTGAGCAGTTGGCAAATTTCTCTTCACTTGGCAGTTCTGATAACAATATGTGGGAGAGAAGAGTCTAGAGGAAGATAAAAGGATAGAAGTTACTTGGTTGAGGATTTTGTTCTATGATGGCTAGAATATGGCTACTTTTAATAACGTTGATCCTTGCAATGTTATTGACATGGTTCGTAACTGTGAACATTTGATTCTTGAATTTGGTCTATGATCCGGACAACTAAAATTCACTTCTGTTTTATTTAATACAGGTTGGTGTTTCTGTTGTGGATCGTTTCACATATTATACTCTAGCCTTCTTTGAGAGGCTAAATATGTATGATAATGCCTCCTTGAGCAGGTAGACCATAAGTGTTTTTCGGGAGTGCGAATACATGACTTCTTTTCCTTGTTATGAAGTGTTTCTGTAGCCTCTGTTTAACTTTCCGGTCTTGAATGATCTTGTAATTTTGATGAAAGAAATCTGTTGAGAGATCAACATAGCTGAGGATCATTTTGATTTTTCCATCAAACCAATATGGAAAACAATGAGTTTCAATTTCTATGCTACATGGATCATCCAAACTTCCAAATACTGGAAGATGAAACTGAGTTGGGTCTTCCAATTTGTGACATGATATTTAGTTCTATTGATTACTGTTGTCCAAATCAAATATTTGATTTTTAGTGGGGTTTTACATGTCCAAATGGATTTTCCAGGAAAGTTGAATTCTGTTTTCATGGTTTATAATTCTATGGTCTGTGCAAATGAAAAGAAAAGTTTAATTAAGTTGATCGACTCTCATGTTGTGATCTTGGTGAATCCGCCTCTCCCCTTCTCTATTATGTTAGTACAGATAATTGGTATGGGTTGCTTAGGAGCATATCAAGAGAATTGTGTTGCAGTAGGTAGAGCATTCCAGCGTCATATTCTTTTGGTAGTTATATTGTTAATTCGGGCATATTTTGTGTTTGTTTTGCAGCCTTTTCAATTCATTTAATCCAAATTTGTTGATGTCAACCGCATATCATAGAATGGACCTATATCAACGTAGTTTGGAGGAGGTAATAATTTTTTGTTCTTAATTTAATGCAGATGAACTTTTTTTTCAATAAATATATTGAAATATTTTCTATGTTGAGGAATTGAGTAACATTATTTGTTGAGGGATTACCTACATAAGTAACAGATGTTTACTCTGCAAATTGCTGCTACCTGGCATTAGTTTACATCTCATGGTGCATCATGGGCTGCAAAACATCAAATAATATTGGCTGTGAATATTCTGTGTATAGTTTCCACCTAACACATTTTATTTCTTTAATTTATCTCTACTCAGGGAGTTGTTGAAATCGTCTTATAAGCTATTTTCCTGAAAGAATAATAAAGCAATGAGAATCTTGTATACTTCCGTAGGATATGCGTTGTGGTTACAAGACAGATCTCTTAACAAGATAGACGAGAAAATACTATACGTGACAGAAATCTGCATGCCAATAACGTTTTTGTGTGTTTATGCTTCTATGTACCAGTTATTGCGTTGATGTGGTGAAAATGAGCATTAATCAGGTCTAATTGGGAAGAATTCTATAAGGATGATTTTGTTTCTCCTTGTTAGGTACCTGTGACCAACTTCTTTGGTTCTGTAATGGAAACATTACATACTGATTCAGCATACAGTTCCCACAGGAGTATAGACGTTGGAGAAGCCAAAATTAAAATTTGCACAGATCAACCAATCTCTGGGAGCGACAGAAGAATTTTGAGAAACATGAATAACAAGGATCAAGTTAGTAGTAACTTAAGCACTAAGGTGACTATCATATGCGCCATTAGGATTGGCACATTATTTCATGCATAGCATTTTTCAAGAGAATGGATTTTCTGTGCAGGAAAATTCACGGCATAGCTTTGGACAACTCTGGAATTCTATTCTCAGCAAGTCGACCACACCTGAAAACGTTGATGCATTTGTGTGCCACTCCCTTCTTTTAATGCTTCCTTTGTTGGTAGTTTCCACATGGCTATCACGCTAAAGGGCTGGAACAACGATTTTGAAGTTGCTTATGCATGCCTTTAATGTTATGGTTGCTGGGTATGCGATTTTCTAGGAAAATGCTTATAACCGATGGTTTCACACTGGGGTTGAATTCAGAGGAAGCTGCCTCATGGTTTCAACCTATTGGTTTGTCATTTTTTGTCGCCCTGTTCATGCTGTGGTGCGACCCTGTTGTTCTGGTTATGCATAGTTCAAATGGTGTTTTTTGTATCTGTTTTTAATTGAAATGGAATTCAATGGACATATGATCAGAAGATTCACTTGAAGCACTTAGAGTTTCAAACTATTATTCCCTTGGGCCCCGATAAGAAGCTAGAACAGCCATGTTGGTTTTGTCTGTTTTTCATTGTAAAATTTGATGTTCACGGTGGGAGCAGGTAAACTTCTATGATCGTACATTTTCTAGTGAAAATTTCTTGATGTGAAGTAAATTTTAGTATGAATTTTAATTACTCCCCCCCCCCCCCAAAATTTTTTTTTTTCAGAAGCCTCAATTTGTTTTTCTAACACCGTCTTTATCTTGTCCTCAAATCATTGGTTCGCTTCGGTGAACTTTAAACGTGTAATATGATACGGGGGCAAATTTGGCTTTTTACAGAAATAATTTTAACACAATTTTGCTTTTTGAAATTGCTTTTGGAAAAGAGTACATTATAAGTTCAAAAAGAAAAAGAAAATCAATATCAATATCAATATCATTCCTTTAAAATCAAATTATTCTAGATTAATTATGACCAGGCCAAAACCTGTGCTGCTTAGGGTAGAGCAATAGGTAGGTTGGGCAGCTTGTGTCCTAATTTGTAACCGGCCTGTTTAAAATTACATGGGACTTGTGATGAATCTGTTTAAGTTCGTTGTAAATAGGCTAAGAATAAATAGGGGGTTAAATAGGTTATGAGGAACCAAGTAACCAAATCAACTAGTCAACTTTCATCAGGGCATAACAATTTGTCAAAATGTAGCTGATAGATTGAGGAAGATAAAGGAGGATGAAAGAAGACCAAAAAATTTCATAGCAAAAACCACAACCACCTTAGATATAGGCACAATTGCATTGATTCGAATTGAGTGAGTATGAGACTGGCAAGGTAGAGAAATGATGGAGAGCAATGAGCAGAGGGAAGCAAAGTCACAGACATGGAGAGAAGAGGTGATAATGAAATGATGAGAGGTTGATGTGCGCGGTGAAGCCATAAGAGCCACTGACTGGTCGTCATTGCTGCCGCCTGGTCAACATTAGGAGTGGCTTAGTAGTGGCGGAGGAAGAGATGGTAATGGTGATGTGAGAGAGGAGAGAAAGAAGAGAGAAGTAGGTGGAGGAGGAAAAGAAAAGCGGCGATGGGTTAAAAGGATTGGAGGGAAAAAAGACGGCAATGGTAGAATGAGGAAGCATGAGGGTTTTTTTCTTCTTCCAAATTTAAATGTTATATGAAAATTGATAAAAAATTTTGAAGTTGCGTGTCACAAGAATCCACAGGCAAAACACTTTTGCCACTAAATCAAGGTTATAACTGTTATATGAGTGTGACAAATAATATATTATAATATACTTTTCATATTAAAAAATGAAAAAAAATATATACGAGCGAGTAAGGGCATTGATTTTACTAGCCTGCCCGTTTAAATTTGCTCGTTTAATATACTTTTTGGGAGATCCAAATGGGTAAAATTTCACATGGTTGTGGGCCAGTATAATGGGCTATGAGTTTTTTGCTCAGTCCTAACACTACTTTTCCATATAAACCTTGTTTTTTTAACGTGAATAAACTTGTATTTAACTAGAGGAAAAATGACTCGTTGGACTCAGACGATATCTGTTTACCTCGGGCACCAGAGCCGTGTAGGGACCTTTTGAGAATGGACAAGGAGAACATCTCTTAAAGTCAAATCTGAGTTGTACTAGGTTTTAGTTTTTTCTTTTCTCTCAAGCCGCTGGCTTGCCGTGTAAAACTAAAAAAAAAAATAGAGGAAAAATGTGAGAATTGTGTAGTTAAATTTTCACTTTCTTATGTTGATGGAGTCTTCAAAATTCTAAAAGGAGAACATTGAATCCTTGTTTGGATGGAGAGAAAATGATGGAGGAAGGAAAACCAGGAAGGGAGAAGTAAATTTTCCTTTGTTTGAATGATCGAAGAAAAAAGGAAAAAAAATTAGGAGAACAATGAGGTGTGAGACTCACTCAATTTTTTCTCCATTTTTCTCTCGCTGATAAATGGAAAGAAAATAGGAACAAAACTGTACTTACCCATTTGCCCTTGTCTTGCCAATAAATCTCGCTGCACAGTTTTTTCCTATTTGGACTTGCCACACAATTTTGAAACAAAGTTGGCTACTACAGTAGTCAGTTCATCCACAACAAATATATGTGTATGTATTTGGTTTTAAAATAAAATTTGGTTTGAATTAAATTTTATCCACCAAAAAAATATAGCTGCACCTATTAGTATTGAAAGTAGCATTTTTTTAGTTAAATCATTTGGCTTTAAAATATAATAATATGGAAATATATTCTCGAAAACTAATTTAAAATTAGTTATAGTTTCTTCTAGTTTTGAATTAGGTTCTTAAGCGCTTTTCTTTTTTATTATGTCCTTTTAGTTTGTCCGGTTATACCACTGTTATATCTGAATTAACAGTGTTAACAATTTTGTTAAAATGTGTTGATGTGGCAAAGAATTGGACTATTTTTACTCTAATAGCTTGGATCTTACTCAGCATTTACGGACAAAAATTTTTTGTCACGTCTTAAGAGAAATTTTTTGACTAGAACGTCTAAAAACAAACTATTATACGATTTATGGACGTTCAATGAGTTATTGACTTGATGTATTTATTTTATCTTTCCTGAATCAATAGATTAAAAAAAATGGATACAGAGAATCACCCGCCGGGAAGCAAAATATTATGTTTAAAAATTAATATAATACTCCTCCAGTCCTAAATATAAGACCCTTTTCGTAGTATAAATTACACTACAAAAGGGGTCTTATATTTAGGACCGGAAGAGTATATCAAAATGATTAAGAAGCATGAAATCAATTTTTTTTTTAAAAACTATATTCTCCCCAATTCTTCATCATCTACGAGGCATATCTGCAAATCAAATGGTTGCACAATAAACCGGAAGCTTTGTGAATCTTTGAACCATGCCTTTAAAGGTTGAAGGTTGATAGTTATGATGACCTAGAAGCTTCAAATCCGCATTGAAGGAGCAATGATTGACCAATCTCAATTATCTCCCTTTTTTCTTCCTTCTACAAGTAGAAGTGGGAATACTGGCTGGTCTTGAAGCTTCAAATAGACATTGAAGGAGTAATGATTGACCACCCTCAATTCTCTCCCTTCTCTCTTCCTTCTACAACTAGAAGTGGGAATACTTGTAGGTCTAGCCTTATAGGGCCGGCTCTGTAAGGCTGAAATCAATATATCTATTAATACTCTTCCACTAAAACCACGACTCAGATGGCTTATATTTTAGCTTAAAACTCATTTTACTATTCATAAGAGATATCTGGCTTCATAATAATTTTATTGGGCTTTGTGTCATGCGGCTCTCAAATGGGGCTACGTGTTGTGGATACAACTTGAAAATTTGAATTTGAATTTTGAGCCGTATCTGATTTCTCAGTCTCAATATTCAACATTAAGGCCCTGTTTGGATGACATAGCAAACCATGGTTTGGAAGGTTTGAAAATTTTGCCTACCTATTTGGATGACATTTGTGCAAACCATTTGCACAAAATGTCATCCAAACAGGTAGGCAAAATTTTCAAACCGTGGTCCAGGAGAAACCATGGTTTTATTAGAAGCAGAAAATAGTCACTTTTGCATAGAAAAATTTGCAACAAGTCGGGTGATAATTGAAGGCAACAGTCATTGACCAAAAATACCCTTCTTCCTTCGCTTCGCTGGCCGACACTTTGGAGTGATTATTCTCTCTTCACCCAGCTCAAATCTGCAATTCAGCTCGACTCTTCACCCTTTCTTCATCAGCTTGCCTCTTCATCCTTTTTTCATCAAAAATTTACTCAGCTCGGCTCTTCGCCCTTCCTTCGTCGTTGCTGCTCTGAATTTCTACACTGATGAGATCATCCTAGGCTCGCGAAAATAGGGGCTGGTTGTGTGTTTCTCGGCTCGCCAAAACTATATCAAGCGTTGGGTCATCCGATCCATCCATCCTCGATTTCCAATCTTCGTTGTTCAGTTCGTCCGGTCAGGTCGCTGTGTCTAGTTCGGTTGGTCAGATCTTGCACTTAGGTTAGCTCTCTCTTGTGATATTAAAAATTTTGTTCACTCATGCATTTTCTCCATTCACAACCATCATCAATCTATCATCTGAATTGTAGCTCCCTGCTTGTGGTTGTGGCTCACTCCCTCCTCTTCATATCTTCATTGCAGCATTGAGTCATTAGTGATGAATGCGTTGGCTGTTTTTTTAGAAATGTGGCGTTGTTGAAAATTTGTTTTGGCTTTAGTATTTTCACTGTCATATGTTGATTTGGAATGATTTGGCTGTAGTGTTCTACTATCCTCTTCGAATTGTAGCTCGGTTTCCTGGTTGTGGATCTGTTTGTTTTGCAAACTTCCTCCCACTTTTGTTTTTGAATTTGTTCAACTAGCTTTTTCCAAAACTGACCGGCATGTTGTTCGAAGGAATGAGATCATTATTGCTTGCTTTGGTTTCATAGTAGCCTGATTTTATGAAACAAGATCTGGTTCTGGAGGCAAGGGATGTATCTGGTGATATTGTTTTGGAGACGAGAAAGCTTGCGAATTGAATTCTACTTATATAAATTCAATGCAAGTTCTTTTTCCTCTTGTTGCTTGGCGTGGGATTCCTTTTTTTTGTCTAGATTCCCCCCAGAGAAGAAGCCTGTGAAGTCGAACTGTGTATTGGGACTTTTTTTTTTGTTTCTTGGATAGTACTTCAAGTTTATGATTAGTTAAATTAATTAACATTATTTGTCAAGAGTTGATCTGATTTGGGATGAGATAAGAAATGCGTTGTCCTGTACTATTGTATTAAGGACTTTGATAGATTTATGGCCAACTTTTGAGAGTGAGGAGAAATGGAATCACAACTCAAATCCATGTATATATTGAAGGAAGTGATTTGTATTTTGGTCAAAGGTTTATGTTGCTAGTTTTTTCTATTTTCGGTTGACAAATCCGATAAGAATATAATTTTAAAAAATATTATGAAAGGCTTGTGCAACATGTTATTTCTTTAAAACAATTATATGCTTTATAATATTATTGCGTTCATCATGAACATTTGTATTAATTACGCACATGAACGAATTTTTTTTCAAATGTATTCGTAATACACAATTATTTCAAAGGTTAAGTACAATATGATTTATGGTGCATGATGGTTCAAATATGGTTTTTCTTATTATTTTGTCTTCCAATTGTCTTTCTACAACAGTTAAGAAAAAGGAAAAGTATATATAATTATTTAGTTAGTTTTGATGTTTTAAAAGTTAGTATTTTGAAGCAAAAATAGATAATGAAGTTTAGAATAGGAGGGGGTGTATTTTTTCCGGCCATTTAAAATTAGAATTTTCTTGTGTTTGTTAATTTTTGTCGCGCTTGGTTTGGTAGAAAGGAATTGAGATTTAAGATGTGGTCAACTTTTTCACCTATTATAGTAAACAATATGATTTTCGTTATTTCATATAATTTTGGGTTGATTAACTTGTGATGACTAAAGAGCTGTAATTGTGCTATAGCATAATGGGTAAGGATACGGTGAAAGCTTCCTGGGATCTAAGAACTACAAAAGTGTTTATTAACCTGTGCATTGAACTTGTGCAACAAGGAGAAAGAAAAGGTACAAGCTTAACAAAGAAAGCTTGAGATATTCTTGGTGATAAGTTTACTACCAAAACTAAAAGAGTGTACGCAAAACCTCAATTTAAGAACAAATATGATTCCCTGCGAAAGGAGTGGCAGACATAGGATAGGCTGCTTCATGAGACAGGTTTGGGATGGGATACTGAAAGGAATACTGTCAGTGCAACTGATGATTGGTGGGAGAAGAAAATAATGGTAATTATTGAACCTTTTGATCTTACATTTTCTTTGCCTGTTAATTTTTTTTGGTATATTTACTGTGTTTTGAATATTTTATGATATTATTAGTATCAAATGTACAGGAAGTTCCAAACTACGAAAAACTCAAAGAAAGAGGACTTCACTTTAGGGATCAATTAACTCAATTGTTCGGGAGTGTGGCTGCAACTGAACCACAAACATGGGCACCTTCTTCCATGACACTTCCAAGTGAAGGAACACCCAATGAAGATTTGGAAGAAGGGTCCGGAGATAGTGATGAAATTTTAGGTGCGCCAACTGGTATAATTAGGGAATTTAACTCAGTAAACTTCAATGACAATAGTGGAGGTAGTGGGGGCAACACTGAATTGAGGCAGGATAACAATGGTTGGGGTACAAGCAGAGGTGGGAGTCGACCTAGTAGCTCACTAGGGGTCAGAAGGAAGAGTGAAGTCATCAAGAAACGCACATCTCCCTCTATGAAAATAGCGGATGCACTTAGCAAGATTGCTGAAACAAATATTTCTGAGGCTGAGCATAGAAATGAGGTCATTTCACGAGTAGAAGCTAGAAGGTTGGAAGAAGAAGTGCGTGCTTATGAGATTTCAATTAGGGGAGTCCTGTCTCACCTCAAAACAATTCCTAAAGTTGTTAGTGATCCTGATTTCTTTAGACGGTGCCCATAACTCCTCATGGAACGGCCAGAGGCACAGGAAATGTATGTAGCTCTGAAGGATCAAAAGGAACAACTTCTCCCCATTTTGGAGCATTACACTAGGGATTTATGACTTGTTTATTATATTAGATAGTTCCTTATGTGTATCGTTTTATATGACTAGTGGATTGTTGTATGAATCAGACAACTCTGTAACTTTTATAAATGTTTCGTAATTTCTATGTAAGGATTCTAAACTTTATGTGTATGTGCACATGATAAAACGAATATGGATGCTGAAATTAAACTTGTTGAAGAGCATGCTAAGGGATGAAAAAAAAAAGGTTAACAAAGTTGCAACATTGGTCAGTGCATACGCTACTTTGAACTTGTGTAAAGAGCTTCGGTATACAAGTGCTTATACAGGCAGCTTATGGGTAAGGGACATTTTAGATGGCAATCCCAGTCATTGTTATAACATATTTAAGATGGAACAAGGTGTGTTCTTAAGTCTGGTAGAACAATTGCAACAGCATGGTCTAAAAGAAACTAAACATATAGGGATACATGAATCCGTTGCAATGTTTTTACATATCATCCACTAAGTAGCAGAATGCAACAAGAAAGATTTCAACATTCAGGGGAGACAATTAGTAGACATTTTCATAATGTCTTAATGGCATGCTGTCGACTTGACATGTCTAATATCAAATCGAAGGATCCAACATTTCGGCATGTTCATACAAAAATTCGGTTTGGTAAATACTGGCCTTTTTTTAAACATGCTATTAGAGCAATTGATAGGACACATGTTTCCTACGTTGTCAGTGCAACAGATCAAACTAAATTTATTTATTTCCTTTTATCATAGATTGTAATATGTAGTTACAAGAAAACCTATTACAAATGCTCTGTATCGATGTATCATCTTAATTATTATGACACTTCTTTATTTATATTCCTTTTATTAATATTATACCTTATATTCTCACACCAATTAGTACTTACTTTAATAATTAACAAATTGTTTTAAGGCATGTTTATTCAATTTTATCAAACAATATCATCCTATTTCTTGTTTATAATCTTCATGAAAATACATAATTTTCTGTTTACAACAATATAATTCACCTTCTCCAAAAATATTTTTACTCTTATATTTCATGAATATATATATACATGTGGTGACAATTAATTAATTAATTATATTAAACATCAGAGGTAGTATGTTATTACAAAAACTAGTTGTGAAAAAATATTATGGGATTTCATATTTAAAATCTTTAAAGAAAATTAATATTTTTCTGTTAGCAAAAAAGATTCATTTTTCTATAAACATTTAATATTATGTTTTATAAATATATATACACATATTAATTATTTATTAATTATATTATCTTATATATTATTACTTATGTTAGTAAAAATTATTTCATTAACAATTTTATTTCTTCAAATCAAAATATATTATAAAATCTATTCTTTATATAATTATCATATTAACTTATATCCTTTTTGGTAATTTCTACGTGTAAAAAGTACTTGTTGTAATAACTATCCAAACACTCTCACTTCTCAGAATCACTTCTTCACAAAATCTATTCTGTTCGGAATCTATTCTCCAAACCATAGTTTGGTTTCATCCAAACACCCTTAAAGTCCCTTATCCTTTATCCCGTTTCTCAGCCTTCACTGTAAAAATCTCTTCTTCCACCCCGACTCTTTGTCATGGGTTCCTTCATCTTCTTCAATGTCCCTCCTCTTCGGTGATGAATCAATCTTCTTCATCTTCACAGCCTCCTTTATTTACAAGTTGCGGCGACGGGAAGGGAGTGATGAAAGGAAGAACTTGCACAAACATTCTTCCTTTTCTCGTCATCACAGTAAAAGCTTCTTCTTCTGCCCCCGGCTCTCCGTCATCGGTTCATTCATCTTTTTCAGTGGCCTTCGTCTTCGACGATGAATCAGTCTTTTTCATTTTCATAGCCTCCTTTTTTTTGCAGGTCGCGGCGATTGGAAGGGAGTGTCAGGGGCGAAAAACTTCACAAATATTCTTCCTTTTCTCGTCATCGATGCGAAAGCGCGAGTTTATTGGTCAACTCCTCATTTCATTGTTCCTACCTCTTGTCTTCTACTCTATATGTGTCGGTATGTTCGAATATTCTCCTTTCTTCTACTGAAATGTTTAGTAATGTTCAAGCTTCTTCCTTTTCCCTTGTGTGTGGCATGATACTTGGCTAGCGCTGCCCTTTTTTCAAAAGAAACTTATATATTTTTTCTTTTCCATATCTGCAGAGCATACACTTGGTTTTTGTTCTGCTGACTGTTGGGGCTTTCTCTTAGACGATGTCGTAGCAATGATTCATTTCTAGAAGCATAGTGATTATCTGGCCACTGGAGACTAAGGAGGGTGTCCTGTGATAATTTAAAGAGATAATAGCGACATCGTGAGTACTTATTTTTTTCCCTTTCAGATTTCATTTTCATTTATTCGTGATCTTATATTGGAATCCAAGTGACCATTTGACTCCTGTCGTTCGTGTAAATATTGCACTAGAGCTAAAACTTTAGATGTGCTCATCACAATGCGTCTGATTGTGATATTCCGTGTCCTTTTCTATTTATTGAATCCTTTTCTACTAATTGAAGCTGAAACATTTGACCATGGTATATTGCATAAGTTTTTCTTATGAAGTATTATATGCTTCTTTGAGCTTCAATTATGGTAAACAGACTTTTGCAAACTTAGTTCAGCCAGTTGCTTCTATTCTTTCCTTTTTTTCTTTTATATGATGGGAATAAGAATATAGCGCTAATTAATAGCCCTACTTTTTAAGTTGAACCTGTCCTTGACAAGATACCAAAGCACATCTAAGATCCAGTAGTCAAAAGTTGAATACCGTCTATCTCCAATTCTCTTAATTACAATTTATTTGCAACCCCAAGGCATGGTTGGTTTGTGTTTTGTCCACATTTCAAGCTTTAAATGCTTTTGTCTGAGGGAGTGTGCTAGATATTATAGCAAAATTTGTTCATGGCCCTTGGTTATTTCCATCCTTGATTTAATCAATATCATCACCACTAGCCTTATATCCAATTTAACGCCTTCTCTTTTTTTATTGCCATGGCCACGTATTCAAATGCATATTGCCTGTTTCATGTGTGAGTGAATTCATGAATCAACATATTTGATATTCTGTTTTACCTCTCTTAATTTTTCCCCTAAAAAATTATGTTTACTCTATACAGCACAGCAGTCAGATTTTAAGTTTGGCTCTTTGAGTTGTTTGTCCATGTGAACTATCATTATTTACCAACCATATTATAGATGTTTTTACATTTGTTTTCTCGCACCTAAGAATTCTCTACTTTCCCTATGAATTGCTTTCTGAAGTGGCAGCTGGTAAAAAACAAAATTGTTGATTTTGACTCTGTTTGCAAAGTTATCTTATTTGTTATCCTATTTTGTTTCTTAAAAATATTTCATGACATGGCAGGGGTTCCTCAGAAGTTACTGTTGATGCAGTGCCTGGATTAACTTAGCTTATGCATATGTGCGTGATGAGATAGAATTGTGGGTGTGCATTCTTTAGTAAATGACTAGACGAAGGTAAGTTACCTCTGCAGCTATCAAGAAGCAATTGAGGATATTACCAAAAGGATGGGAGCTGGAATGGCCAAATTTATTTGCAAAGAGGTTCACCATGCATCTCTTTTGTTCTCCATATAGATTCTAGATATTTCATAGATATGCTAGCTTAGTTCCACTTGATTAATTCATCTCTTTGACAGGTAGGATATTATATTCATTTTACTATTCCCTTAAACCTGGCTAGAAGGATAAATATTAGTGTTTAGATTTAGAGGAGATTATTTTTTCCCAAAATTTTTAGTTATCCCATCCCCGCTCATTTTGCTATTACCTCAGTTCACTGTGTCAACAGCTTCCTGGCTTTTCTCTTTTGCATACTTGCAGACTGCAATTCAAGTCCTCCTTTTCTTTGTCAAATTTAACATCTCAGTTTCCGCCATGTCTTAAGGACATTGATCTTACTTCCGTTATTCTCCCATAACTGGCTCCCCTTGCATTTCCTGATGGTGTCCACTTCTGTTTTTTCCTTAGCCTCTTTGCCTATATTTATTGTTGTGTGTTAAAGGATATTGTGACCATGGGTTGGGAAATCTCTGGTGAAATGCATGAGATCAAGTGAGGAAGAAATTGAGTGATCTTTTTTTTTTTTTTTGTGAT